GTAAGGAGGTAGACCTGTTGATTATCAGATGTATATATCAGTTACTGAAGTGATGCCCTCATGAAGAGGGAGAAGGCAGTTTTATGGTAGTTCCACAAGATTGCTGGACCTTGTGTGCCATCCTGTCAGATACTCCACAAGTCCAGCACCTGTTTTCAGCAGAGGTGGACTGGCACAAAGCAGGGCTACAAAAGTTATATTGTTCTCTGTGTGAGAAAATACCATGAAGAATATGGCTTTAACTGCTGGACCAAGAGGAAGGTTGAAGGGGAGTGAGAGTACTTGAAGTATTCTTTTGCTAGTAGGAGGGAACAACTGTTTAAGTTGGAGAGCAGTGTTGTCCTGATAGTGGGGGCAGAGAACACATTAAAATAAACTGACTATGAATAACTAGTGTAGGTGTTGAACTGTTTCTGACTGTCTGAGCAGTCACACTCTTTTTTTCAGGGGAATACTAAGAGGTGCCTCCCCCCAGAAAAGAGAAGTCATTGCTCTTAAGGTTGTATAGTAGTCCTCCGTCCTTAGTGTATGCTGGTATAGAGCCCTGTATTCCTAAAAAAATAAATTAAAAAAAAATCTGCACGTGCTGCCTTTATGCACAAACACATATTGGAGAGGGCAGGCAGGGAAAACTGTTTTTAAACAAAGTAGTTTTATTGTCAGTGCTATTCAGTTTTACCTGTATTTTGTGAAGGAACAGCTGTTGTTCTGTATTTGTGCATTGTGACTCTGGTCCATGAGTATGTCTCCTAGAAAGTGAGGTCATACAGATAATTGGTGTATAATTAACTTAGTACTAATTCCTGTATGTGTGGGCAGAGTTCTGGTTGTAGAAAAACAGTGCGTGAACAGTGATAGCTTTTTCTTATCTTGTGTGTGAGAATGTAATCTTCACACAGCAACAGTTCACTCTGTACAAGATGTTATACTAAACTTTCTGGTAAAAATAACACCACTTACCAAAGTAATGTTCCCGCTGCTTTGTAAACCAGGCTTGGTATGCAAAAATGATTTCTCATTGTTTTACGTGCTAGATGATTAATACTGATGTTATATGCCAGTATAGAAAATAAGCATCATCATTCCTTCTATGTTGGCATGATAAATACTGTTTAAAATACTGTGTGAATTATTGTTGGTAGTGGTGTTGTGGCTTACATCTATTTTATTTTTTTTCCTCAATAAAGATAATACAGGAATCCCTTGAAATACTGGAGGGAGACTGTCAACTTGGTATCTGTTTGAATAAAAAATGGAAAGGTTTTTTTGCTTAATGTGCTGTTACACATAATGTTGTAGCAAAGTGGATCGGAGAGGTTGTTGGGCTTTACTTCTTTTTCATTTTGAGAGGTGTTTTGTTCTATCCTCTGGTCTTGTGGAGAACACTGTAACTGGTGGGAAGTTTTATACATCTTTCTAAGTTATGTGGCCCAGAGAAATATATAAAGCAGAATTGAAAAAATATGTTTCCTTCACTCATGGTAATGTTACATTTTGTAACAGCAGTACTTAAAGATGTTTTGATTTTTGAGATTATTTTTGATTTTTTTAATGCGCTTCCATGGCTTCAGTCCAAGTTGTAGGTTTGTCTAGAAGTAGAAAAAAAGAAAAGGCTAAATATTTTGCTAAATGTTTGACAATACTGAGTAAAAATAAATATAAAATCTGTCTATGTTTTGTGTTTTATTTTTTTTCTCTAGCCTGCTCAGAGTTTTCCCAGAGGTCCTGTGAAGAATGTCTAAAAAATGTTTCGGTAAGATTTTTAACATCCTTTTGGACTGAGATTCTGGTCATTTTTCTGTCTAATATGAAGTCAGATTGTTGGGGTTGGTTTGGCTGTTCGGTGGGGGTTTTGTTTTGTTTTTAGGGATGCGTCTAGTCAAACTGCCTTTCATAAGAAGTCCCTGGTCTTATTTAAATGTTAGTGTGAACTGCTGTGCTGCTTCCCCTCTGTCACACTGGATGCCAGTGTGCTTTCGCTTTGCCGGGGTTGCTCTGTGTGTTGGTAACTCCGCGGTATTTCTCTGCTTGCTCTGGAGAGGACAGGCTGTGCAGAAGCCAGGCTCCCAGTTTCTGTGTTCCCAGTGCTTTCACAGTGCAACCAGACAAGTTGAAGTTGCAGCTGTCCTCATTTTGCAAGCAGCACTTAGTTAAATTTCTATCTTATACAAGGGCTAGGTAAACTGAATCTTAATGTGGCCAAGATGCCTTGCACTACTTTATGCTGAATAGGAGAACTGGGAAATTTGTGTAAATAAACTGGAAATGCCTTTCTCTTGAGATGCCCCAAGCAATGCATTTAATTGAGGCAGACCAAATCAGTGCTTTCCAGATGTTCGGACATGTCACCCTCTCCCCTGACTACATCAGACTCTGAGTGCTGAAGACTGCCAGGCTAGGGCTCTGTTCTAGTGTCAAAGTGTTTGGATTTCCAATGAGGTTGCAATAACAAAGACATTTAAATTCAACAGAATATTTCTGTCTGTTGCTCAAACCCTTTCTCTTCCACAAAAAAGAATTGTTATGATAATGATAAATACACAAAAGGTGTCTGTCTCTGCAGAGCAGAAGAAACTCCCATATTTAAAGTGAGAGATTGTCTCAAATTCTAACTTCAGATAGAAAATAAATATTTCACGAGTCTTTAAGTTACATAAGTTACTGCAAAATTTTTTCAGTAGGGGAAGTTGAGAAATATCTAAACTTACCTATTTCATGCTTGTCTTACACATATTTTGGCTTTTTTAATGGGAAAAAAATTAATTGCCTTGTATTGATGTAGTTATTGTGTGTTGTCAGAGCTGTATATTTGTAGTTATAGGCATGGCATTGTGTAAAGAACTCTTAATCTTAAAAAGTATAAAGTAGGAAATTGAAAATATGAGTCATTAAAAACTAAAATGTTCAGCACTGCCACTGATGTGACTGTCATTTCATATAAGTGCTGCTGCAGATACATGATCACAACTTTATTAACCGGAGTGCTGTGTGTTCACCTTATTAAAGAAATAAATCCTTCAGCAGTGTTTGTGCTACATTATTTTCTGTACTGGTATCTCTGAAACCAGTGACTGTGTCCTGGCTTGTTTTGGTGACAGAATGATGGATCATTCAGGGCAACTGCTTCAGTAGCATCAGTGATAACCTCGAAGAGAGGAGTTTAGACTTGATTTGAACAACTCGCACTTTTTAAAATTTTTTTTTAAAAGGCTACCAAACAAAGCTGTTAGCATTTGTGTGAGCAGTACAAAAGCAAAGGATTGTTGAAATTACTTTGTTTAATTGCTTCAGTGGAAAAAAAAATTTGAGAATGAGTCAATGGAAATATTTCTCTTACTTCAGTCTCCGCACTGATCAGCAGCGGTATCAGGTACTGCCTTTTGAGCTGACAGTGGGATGCACTGGTCTCCATCAGAGTGATACAGTTGACCTTTTTGTGTTCCTGCTTGTCGCCAACAGTACAGAGTCGGTCTGGTTAGAAGAGTCCTTCCAAGTCGTCTGGTCCAGCGTCCTGGTCAAACATTACATTCAAAGTTTTAACAACGACTTTGAGTCTGCTCCTGTTATTTTTGAACCATTAATTCTTACTAAATAATTGATACAACAAAAACAAGCATGTTCTCATCTAACATCCTTCATTAAAATTAAAACTTAGGAAAGCAGGTTTTTTTGCAAAGATTATTCTGCTTTCTTTTTTGTCTATCTTCACTTTTTTCAAGAAAACAGAGTCTACTACAAATGGTTTTCTTTGTATTTAATGTTTTCTAACTCTTTAGAGCAAGATAACAGACTTTGAGCAATTGAGGATGTATGACAGATGTTCTTGATAGTACTGTTAGATAAAGCATAGTTCTTAGGTGAGCTCTTTCTGTACTGAATCCTAAAAAACCCTGTTCTGTCAAGGATTCCTCTTGCTGTCATCTAGAACTTTTTTACTGGTTGAGTTGTGTGCTAAGGGAATTTTGAATGAGTATCTGGTTTAACAGGTGAAAAGACAAAACTTAAGTTTGATGCTTAGTGGTGGCAAAAAAAAACCAGCAGAACTGTTATGCTGGTGTTGTAACTATAGTACATGTAAGAAATTAAAAATTTTAAAAACATCCAGATATGTAAGTGTGCATAATTAAGATACACAATGTACTTCGTAACACGTGTTGGGTAAGACTGTATGCTTTATTACCTTGCAGCAAAACTTCCTGTAGAGTTGTAAGGGTTTTTAATGCTTTGTTTCTGTGGATGGTCAAACATAGGGCTGAACTAAGATTCTGAGTGTATTTGTATTCCTCGAAGACACCAGGCGTTTTAGAATTTTGAATTATTGACTTTCTGTGTTTGTATTTCTTGTAATTTCAGTGATCCTAAACCCAAAGCCATTTTATCCTCAAGTATATTGAGTATCTCAAAATGTTCCCAAATATTTTCAGGCTAGTGTAAATATTAATTACCTTTATTACCTATAAGCACACAATTCAGTTTAGGTTCACTTAAGAATTGTGCCAGGACGTTCGTAGGTTTCATACCACAAAGCACTTTCAGTATATACATACAGTACTGCATTCAAGAATTCTGTCTGTGGAGAGGAGCACTAAATTATAGACTGTTTTTGAAGATTAATAATTTGGGGTTTTTTTATCTGTTTCTTTTGTACAGTGCCTTTGGTGTTACACCAACAACACTTGTATTGATTACCCTGTGAGAAGCATTCTTCCACCGTCTTCATTGTGTTCACTCTCAAATGCTCGATGGGGAGTTTGCTGGAGTAGGTACTAATTTTACTTTTGCTGTAGAGGATTATTTATAAGTAAATGAAAGTAAGACTAGATTACTAGAGCTGTTTCCTGATAATTTATTTGGAGGGATAGGGTGAAGAAGCAGTGATTATGATTTGATTTATCATTTGAACCATGATCCCTAATCTTCTGGACTTACAGAAGAGTCATTGTTAAGGGTTTTTCGTGGACAGCCAGTGTAGTTATGCTGATCCAGTAACTTTAAAACATTTACTGTGTAGTAAAGTTGTGTTGACACTAAAGGCTTGACTGGGAACCAGTGATCTTGGAATGTTCTGAGTATTTTATGTCAGTAGTCAGGATTCACCTTCTGAGGTACAAAGAAATAAGGTCATTCCCTGTTGACAAGGACTAACTACTCTTTTTTTGGAGCTTGCACAGCAACAGCCAAAACATTGGTGTGTTATCAGCACTGTTTTAGCCAGAAATCCAAAACACAGAACCATACCAGCTGCTGTGATGAAAATAACTCCATCCCAGCCACACCCAGTACATAAATACATTTGCACATGTCCTTTTGCAAAGCAGTGATTGCTGGTGTCTACTGATACTAAGGGTGTTCTTGACAGCTCACTCCTGCTATAAAATGGCTTCTAGCTTGGGTACCGTTTGTGTTTCTAGATTGAGTGTAGCTGAAACAGAATAAAAAACTCTGCAATGGAGCACATTGTCAGCAAATGTAAAATTGAAAAAAAAAAACCCAAACCACCCAACCCAAGCAACTCCAAAACAACAACCCCCTCCAGATATGCATTTCCTTAATAGACTTTTTTTTTTTACAAATTATATGCAGCAGTGTGCCATGAGGATAGTCTTATTGAGACTGTCCCCTTCAGACACAGCAGGAAGATTAATTACCTTATGAGTATGGTGGTGGTGTTTTTCCCTTTTGCAAATTAAATGAAAAGATGAGTGTTGGCTCGGTATTGCTGAAAATGAAGGTGAATACTGTAGCTCTCAAAGTCAAAAACAAATTACTGGCTTCTAGTTACAGTTTTATATGAAATAAGACATGTTGACAGATTATTAACCAGCAGTGAAGAAAAAAGAATGGTGTAGAAGCAATGTAAAACAAAGTAGCTTAATTGTATTGGTTTTTCATTAATAATAAGCACATAGTGGAGAGGGGAATCCAAACTGAAAACTGAGTCTTTTTCTGCACTTTAGTAATAGGTTTAAAATATATTTTTGCTTCAATTAAGTGGCATTTTTAAAAGTAAACAGCATACTTATGAAAAAATTCATTTGAGTTTGAAACCATTTTTTGTTCTTACTTTGCTGAATGTGTCTTTAATTGCTCGTAACTTGTAGAGGAGTAACGGAATGAGAAATACGATATGGTGAAATGTGTTACTTCAAAAAATCACAAGTTGAGTATTTACTTGTGTATTGTAACTGGAAACTGTGTATTAATCTGTATTATAAACTGTATGCAGCAAATTATAACAGACAAGCAAAAATACCTGCTGGGATGTAATTTTTGGCAGGATCTGTGAAGGAAGCCTTGGCCAGATGTGAGTTGGTGAGATCTGTAAAGAAGTTAACAGACTCCTTGGCTTGTGCATGTGATCAGAGAGGACAGACCCTCTGCACTTCACTTGCTAAATATGTGGTATCACTGGTACCCTGAAGGTGTGAAAAGTGCATGTGCGGCTACTTTCTATTACTGCAGCAGCATGAAGCTGCTGAATCTAGCAGAATTCAGAAGGATTTATGTGGGAGAAAGAAGCGAGCCTCCCTGTCATCCCCCCATCATGCTTTGAAATGTGGGGTGTGTGTGGGGAGAGGTGTTTAGTTTTTATTTCTGTTGTTACAACTTCCCTGAATGTTTTCATTTTGTCCTTTGTTGGGTCCTTTAAATAATTCCTCAAAGTTGTGTCTATACCTTCGCTTATATCATCCCTGTTTGCTTTCATGGGCTTCACCCTTTTCTGGGTTATCACATTTCTCTGATTCTTTTTTTGTGAATAGTCCTGTCCTGGTTTAGACCAGGTACAGTTGTTATGGTGTATGCTGTTAAAATAATACCCCCATCCATTTGTTAATCTCTGTTTAGATGTAGAAGATGACTTAGGAAGTTTTATGGAAAGTTTTGTATTGGCTTCTTCAAATCCTCTGACATTACCGTCTGTCTTAATTTTGCTCTTTCTCTTAAGAGAAAGCTCTCTCTCTGCTGCGTTGAATGTGTGTACACTGATGCCGCATCTGTGTGACGTTTTTATTCCACAGAACTGTGGAATCACACCAGTAGATGTATTTCATAGAAAGTATTACAGGATGACTTTTAATAGTTTGATATATGTAAAGAGCGTGTCTGTTCAGTGTAGATTATGCATAGTAGCAAAATTCTAATGTAATGTGCTGAGTTTTAACTGGGCTGGTTTTGCAGAATTATGTTTGGTTTCGGTGGAAAAAGTGCTTGGGAAGGAGGGGAAGAATTGTTAGAAAGACAAATGCTAATGCTGGAGTCTAACAGGTTGAATATATTCATATTTTTCAGTAAACTTTGAGGCTTTAATTATTGCCATAGCTGTAGTAGCTGGACTCATGCTGCTGTCCATAGCAGTCTGTTGCTGTTACTGCTGTTACTGCAGAAGGCGTTCCAGGAGGTAAATACATGTATTTGTTTCCTTTATTAACTTTGAGTGCTGGTCTTCCATACCTACCTACAATTTTTAGAATCCAGTATACTAAGAATCTTTTCATTTGGGAGCAATTTTGATCAATTTTATTTGGTTGAGACACAACCAAAAAGGAGGTGTTTAGTGATAGGCAATATGACACTAGAAGTTATGCTGGAATGACACCAAAGTTACGTTATTAGTGATAACATCACAGATATGTAACCTTATTAAGGTTACTTCCTCATTAAGATTGGACAAAAAATATTTCAGTGGCCAAATAAATACTTGCTTCTTGTGACAACAGAACAAATTATTTCTTTCAAGGCAAACTCATGGTACAGCAAAAAGGGACCAGGTGGGTAATAATAAACTGAGCAACAGCATCCTACAGCACATGCTTCAGAGTTTGCTCTGGGATCTGTCAGCAGTCAGTCAGTATCATAGTGATTAGTTATCTTTGCTAATTCAACAAAATATTCCAAATGTAAGATGATACATTTTGCTCTAAGACGCTAAGAGCAGCTGACTTATTTTCAAGTAAAGTAATGCTGCAAAAGTTAGGTGTTCTTTAGATCTTGGAGGACTTGTTAAATTTCTCTGTTTTTTTTTTTTCTTTCCTCCTACTGGCTTACTTTTCTGATTGGCTGATATCCTTCAAAGGGAAGAAAATAGTTACATCAGTGCTGCCATGTGAGGTGATCAGTGCTTATTTCCTAATGAAACACCTGGAAAGCCTTGTTCAATGAGACAACACAATGTGCTTCCTTGTGACACCGAAGCTTTAGAGCTCAGGTTTCTGGGCAGTGTAGCTTCAGCTAGCTCTGTTCCTTTTGTCCTTCAGTACTTCTCATGTGAGCAAAATGTGGACCTTTATTTCTTGATCTGAAATAATATCTGTACTATTTTGAGTGCCTGTAATTCACTGTTCTTGTTTGAGGAGTTTTTTTTAAAAGAACTTATGCAGCTGTACAGTGTTTAGTGCTCACCTTCATGCCAGAGAAATATGGTACCTATGTGGCTTTAAAGAAAGGAGACAATTATTGTAAATAACATGTTATTCCCTCATTTTCCCTGAGGAAGATGCATGCACCTGTTCTGCTGGTAGACTGATCTACCAAACCTGTTCTAGTGCGAAAATTGATAACTCCTTAGCCCTGAGCTTATAAGACCTGAAGATTAATAGAAAACTGGTTTACATTTTATGTACAATTTTCCAGTGTCCTCTACAGAAGAACTGACTAGGCAGCTGTGGCTGACATGCCAACAAATAAAGCTAGATTCTTGTGAAAAGAGAGATTTGTGCCAGAGTTCAGTTTTAGTAGCTAAGTCATCATCAGTACTGTAATATCTAATTGTAAAAATAGAGGGCTAATTGAGAGTCATCTTATGCCACGAGTCCAAAAGTGTTGATCTTAACCTTATGACACTTAGAAGATTTAAACGTCTTGTCAAAGTGGGGTCCAGCTTATTTCAGGAGAATTCAGAATGTATTATTTATTACACTGAAGCCTGAGATATGACTGGCTTTAAACTCACTGATTCTCAGCAGGATTTTTTTTGCTCTCTGCTTCCTCAGTTTTGGGGACTCCTTTCCCACAAAATAATTTTTTTTCTTTAAAGAATTGGCAGAAGGAAAATTCATAGAAATGTAGCATTAGATCTCTTTTGCTGACTTAAATGTATTGTCTCAGGGGTAACTTTGTTTTGCAGAAGCATGAGTATTCCTTCTGGGAGTTTTTAAGTTGTGAAGTTTCAGTATTTTAGAAGCCAGCACTTACCTTTTCCTTGAACACAGAGAATACCTAGGTTCATAAATCCCCACATCAGCAACATGGCTGACTCACCTGGGTCCATTTCTACCACAGCAATCCTAGGACTCTGTGGGTGCATTGTTTCAGTTCATTGTTTTTATCATGTGTTTGAACTTTAGGAGTCTGGTTCCATGTGCTTGAGATATAACTATTCATGAGCTATATTAAGTAGACTTTCTTGAACTTCCTCAGTTTAACAATCACTTTTTTATTTTTATAATTTAAGACTTTCTGAATTTTGAAGGAAAACCTCTTCCTAGGAGAGGTGCTCCAGCCCTCTGATCATTTTTGTGGCACTCCTCTGGACTTGCTCCAACAGCTCCATGTCCTTCTTGTGTTGAGGACTCAGCTGGATGCAGTATTCCACGTGGTGTCTCACCAGAGCACAGAGCAGAGGGGCAGAATCACCACCCTCGATCTGCTGACTATGCTCCTTTTGATGCAGGCCAGGATAGAGTTGGCTTTCTGGGCTGTGAACACACATTGCCGGCTCATGTCCAGATTAGTTTTACAAAACATTTTTTTTCCAGTAAAAGTGAACTGTTGCATCTGTTTCCTGCTAGACTCCCCCAGCATTTTTCTAATTCTTTGTGGAAACAAAAAAGGAGAAACTAGAAAACTTGTCTGTGAACATTACATGGATTCTGAATTACTGGGTTGTATTTAAGTGAATAGATGTTTAAAGATATGTATGGGCTGATTGAGCAAATTGAAAAATTTAGTTCAGATTTCCAGTTCTGATTTCTGTGAATTTTGTTAAAACAATTGACATGCTGTAATGAACCACTGGATGTCACTCTTGCTTAACTTGTATGTTGGTTTCTGCAGATGTGTGGTACAACTGTTCATTTCTCTACTAGCAGGTGTATTAGTATTGTAAATATAGAACATATAGAACATCTTCAGATAGTGCATTCAGTTTTGAAAAGTGATTAGCAGCTGGGGAAGCGTGGCAGGTGTCCATTGTCATTAATTCTGTCAGAAAACAAATAACACAAATACAGTTTGGTGTTTGCTTTAGAGTTTTACAATTCTTATATGGTCTAACTAAGGCAGGACACAAAGCTTAAATGCCTGCGTTCAGTGGAGTGCATCTGCACACGCAGTGCTTGTGTACTGTGTAGGCTCAGCATTTCCCAGAGTCACACAGCTGATGCACTCAGGTAAATCCGTGCTTATTCCAGAACAGGAAAGGCAGCTGCCAAGACACTTCACGCAGACTGCTTTCCTGGGGGCAACTTGAGATTGGATAGTGATGGTTTTTGGAAAGATAAATTGTTCTGGCATCACCGGCTTATGAGCCATCAATCTTCTTCCAGGGGTAACAACAGACTTGAGCTGTGCCTTTGTCGTATGCTTACTCTAAAATGGGGTGTGATATGGGCAAATGGCAAGTAGGAGTCCTGCTTCTGAAACAGTCTGCAACCTGTTCTGAAGAGGCTATAAATTGTCATGTGGAGTCCGAAGGGCACATTGCTCTAGTAGATGAAGCATTTGTGTATGATAAAATGTGAAAGGTTAATTCTACATATTTGTCAATTATACTTACTCAGCAATCAAATTTTACATGGCTGTGAAGAAGTATCTCAAGTCAGACTCTTTGAAAATAAGTCAAATGACTGAATACTGATTGCCTAGCACTGAAATTTCTTTTTCCTCTTATGCTTTCCCCTCCCTCCTTATTTTTGTAGTAGACCAGATGAAGATGAAGAACGGTTAGCTAGAAAGAGAGAGGAGCGAAGACTACAGTCTCTTCAGAGGTATGTCTTGACAGCTTGATATATAGCAATGGACTTCTTGCTGATGTAGAAGTATTCTGCCCTTCTAAGGAATACACAGAGTATGAAACAAAGGGGCATTATGGAGTTAGGCATGACAACATCAGGTTTTCACAAACAGGACTTTGTGAACCTGTAAATTAACAGGGAGCCAACAGGCTGATGCTTGCTGTAGCAGGTACCATGAATGCTCTGTGTCAGCCATGAATATACAGGAGGTCTGAAGTCTTGCCTAGTCTCTACTGGACTGATGTCTGTCTATGGTCTGAGTTAATGCCTAAGTGAGGCTGGGATTCAGAGGCAAAACCCCCACTTTATTGGTTCATTTTGTAGCTGGTTCTTTTTATTTTAAAGTCTGGCTGGAAAAGGGGTGGAGAGAATGATAGTGAGATACCTATTAGAAACTTTGCTCAGGAAATGAAAAATTTTGGCTCAAATCTCACCTTAAAAATAATCCTACGTTTCCGTCCATTCTGTTGAAGCTGTAGCACAGTGTAGAACTGTAAGAGTCAGCAGTGATAGCATTCCTTCAGATAGAGGTTTTTATAGCTTGAGGCCAGTAACTCTTCACGGTTTTTACGTTATTTAGGTAAACAGCTTTTATAGATAGGAACATGATACCTGGTACAATCCCAGTGTACCTTTTGAGTCATACTTGCTTTCATGGTCCTTATTTTGGAGCTTTACAGTGGATTAGCTTCAGCAAGACAAGAGGAAAGTCCTAACCTAACTAATGCTAGGCTTGGAGCTGTCAGGTGTGGGTTTGAATCCCCACAGACTGACGGGGAAATTGATCCTACGTTTGCCACTTTCTGCTTATGTTCTTTGAATACTTGACTGCCAAGGTGGGCACCTTCACTGCCTTGCTGATGCCTGCTGTTTTCTCCTGAACTCAGCTTAGTTGTTAATATGAGCAGAGACTGCAGGGAGCAAGGCATACTTCCAGATGAGACCCCCTGGGCAGCTTTTGCATGAAGACTTTAAGTTTCTCTATTGCAAATAGGAAAAGATAGGTAGGCTTAGTTTGCTCAAACATGTTCTGTTTCTGACTAGGCATCAAAGAGGAAACCAGTAAGGTTCTCTTGAGATGCATCTACTATTGTTTGTCTCTGGCAGGAGCTGGGAGAATCACTCTTAATTCTGTGCAAATCTGTTTGGTGGTTCTGAACTGCCAGGTTATATAAGCAAATAAAGCAACTGGTTGTCCTAGATCTGACAATGCTTATGGCACTGAAGTGGGCACTGTGATATTAGGAAGCAGAATAGATTGTGTTGTAATGGCTTAAATTGATTCTTTAGCTTGGCATACTGGCAGTTTAATGTATCTATTTCATTTTTCTACAAGCTGTGTAATACAGTTTAGTAGCTTTTAAATTATGAAATTCTTTGTTCTGCACAAATTTTATTTTTCAGACTTACTGTTGCAGTAATATGTATTCTGCACTTGTACTTGTTTAGGAAAGTATAAGTTTAAAAGTTACTTTCTGCAGAGGAAAGATGAGAATTAGATGTTTCCTAGTGTAGTCGAGATAAAATTACTGTTTTGAAAATGTAGTGGCACCGTTACACTTAAAAATATTAATTCACCCTTTAGATTGTATGTAAAAGCATTTGACTTTTGATGTAAATGTGAGCTGCTGATGGAAAAAGCATTCTTACTTTTCTTTCAGGCCCAAGGCATGAAATGATTCATTTTGCAGGAAGTTATTCATGTTTTTGTGGGGTTTCTAAGGTTTTTTATTTTGTTGGGTGAGTTCAGTGAACAGTCTCAGCATGTATCCGTAAGATTGCTGGGATCTGCAGGATACAAAGAGAACCCAATCCAGGGATGGGAGAGAAGCAAAGAAAGCATTTATTTGAGGACAGAGTAAAAGCAATACTTTTCCTTCCACCATTGCAAAGTAGTGTCAAACTGTCAGAGAAGAGAATGGATGCAAATTTGTTTTCATAAACATTCTAATTTATGCACTGAAAGTGTCATACTTGAACGTGCACAGAAGGGTAAAAAATAGATGGCCAGTTTAGGAAGCATGCTCATGTGTAGCTGTACCACAGGGTTTCTCAGATAAATGATGTTGAAGACTTGCAATGGATCAGAAAAAAGGGAAATTTTCCACCTGCTAATCCACTTCTAACTAGTCACAGCACAATAGGCAGAGTGCTAGCGTGAAGGTGATGTTTCTTCTGTAATGCAGGAGAAACTGCTGTTTTCTTCTAAAGAGAAGGGATATTCTTTGTCAAGCCTCAAAAAAGTTGCAGCACCTAATGTTGCCTTGCTTTTCAGATAGACAGTGAAAGTCTGCTTTGTAAGTTTAAAATTTGTGCTAAAATTCAGTTTATTATGGATACTTAGGAAGTGTCTTTCTGGAATACTTAGATGGCTGATAGAATGAAGAATAAGGATAATGACATTTGCCCTCTGCTTCTCTTCACAAGGACTTGTGAAGTGACAAGTAGCTGTCACTTCACTGAGAAGGTTGAAGATCACTGGTGTGATTCTCATTTAGAGTTTGCACTTACAGTGACATGCAGGAGGGGATGGAAACCTGGAGTTAGGTTTTTGAGTAATACTGAAGGAAAACAGGTATTATATTGCATAGCTTTAGTTCTTTAGTTGACTTCATGCCCTCTGTAACATGAAAAATAGTTTTTAAATGTAGCATCAAGTAGTGAGTCTTTTTCTATATACTAATTTAATTATTTACAACTGCAGATACATAGTACACTTATATGTTAGACTTGTATAACTTGCAAACCATCATTTATATGTTAGAAGTTGGTAAACCAATGAAAAGCAATTAAAACTTAAATGAGATAAGCTGCCAAGTATATGTTGGTAGTGTACTGGCAAGGGAGGACAAGGCTGGGGGGCAGGGAAAGAAAGCATTACAGTTCATCTGTGAAGAACCAAGTATGGAAAATTCTGATGTGAATTGTTTGTATTAGGAAAAATACTTTCTTAGCTTACAGCAGTGGGGACAACTTGCATGAAGAGCCAAGAATATAGTACAGAAGATGGAGTAGTAGCAGTAGTGCCAAGAAACAGAAGCAACTCGGAAGACAGTGAAGTGACTTTGGCTGATCATAATTTAAGGTGTGAAGGGTGCAGTAAGGCACCTCGGGGTGGCCGATTCAGTGACAGCTGTTCAGAACTGCATCTGATTCTTCTCAGTCGATGTATACCTAAGCCTTATTTACTGTACAAGGATTTAGTCATGGGTGTTACGATTTAGTCATGGCTGCCTGTCAGAGTTCGAACGTTTCACAAATATTAATGGTTTTGCCCTTCAAACTTAAACAATGTAAGAATTGTAGATGTTTGGTGGTTTGTTTTGAATAGCCTAGGGAAGTATCATAAAGCGTTTCTGAGGTTTAAAGCACACACAGCCTGATTTTGGTTTTGTTTTGTTTTTCCCCATCTCCCATCTCCTTACCCTTCTTACACAGATACTTAGTGCTTTTCAGGGCAGATGCAGACTGACTGCTGAAGTACTGAGACTGCAGTTGAAACTGCAGCAGTGAGTCTCCATTAATTTTGGCAAGGTATGCAAAACAGTGAAGAACTTGCTGTTAGTACTACCAGTAAAAAACCTAGTTTATGGTCACATGGAAACTACAGAAATAAGGGCTGTCTTTACCCAGGAGAAGGCTGCTTTCAGCAGAGTATCTATTCTCTTCCTGAGATCCCTTGCCTCATATAATGTCTTCCTCTTAATGCAACACAGAAAGCAGGAATCCTGTGGTCAGTACCCTCAATAGGTAAACTTGACTCCTCATCTTCCTGTTCTGGTCAACCTCAGTCCTGACTTTCCTTTTCTACATGAATTTCATTTTGTCACTCTGATTCCCCAGTTCTTCTCCTGCAGTGTGGACAGGTTGCTTTGGACATGAGGGAGATGGGTATCTCAGGAAAAGAGGAGTGGAAGGTTTGGAGCCAGTCTTTCTTGTTTGCTGTTCTCATCGTGCTTTATTTGCACACTCTCCAGAAATGCAGTTGCAGGGAAAGGCCAGTTCAGCCTTTCAGCTCCATAGGAAGCAGGATAATTGCTGCTGAGGATAGACACACAGGATCTGATTAGCAGTAGGAATTGTTTGGAGGCAGAATATGCATAGGGCAGATGGGCTCTTTGGTGAATTAAGCTGTCAGTGCTTAACAGCTTTCTGCTGAATATGCGCAAATTAGAGTCTGGCGAAAGTCACAAGGAGGAACACTGTTTTGCCACATTCTATGTCCTTGCCTCAAAATATATATAGATACTGGATTATCCTAGTGAAACAGTTGTATAGGAGCTTTTTTGTTTGTTTTTAAACTAAGCAAATAGACATTCACCTTGAAATATAAGAAAACTATGTGAGGAATGATGGAACAATTTCTATTTAAACTTCCTTCTTTTTTCTCCCTCTACCTTTGCAAAGGAGAGCGGAGGAAGAGGAAGAAATTGACTTGTCAGACAGTTTATGCGGATAAAAGTTTGACAATATTAGATACAGTCTTGAAAACTGTCTATCATTATACACGTAACTAGAGGCATCCAATTTTTATATAGCACATTATTTTAATTTATTCTCTACATGGATGCCATGCTTCATTTTAGAAAGTTGAAGTTTTCATTTATGCTTGCTGAATTAGGATTTTGAAGCACACTGTATCACAGCTAAATTTTATAATTATGCTCCCTGCTGGAAAGTATTAGGGAATCTTCCAATATTGTACCTTGCTGCTTATGTATAGATTAATACATCAACGTGTGTATATGTCGACATTACACACACTGTATGTGGACACATTACTTCTATATAGAAAAAAAGTTCTTTATCCTTCCAGATATATCTTACTTTGCTATTACTGATTAGTGAGAAGTCACAGAGACTCTTAGAGATGCATAAAGTGTATATGAAAAGATAAAATATATAACTGATAAATGCAATTTTTAAAAAATTTGTAATTGCATACTAATTTTAAAAATTCTGTCATCTTTCAGATGTAATTAACATATTTTGCTTACAGCTCAAAACAGTCTGAATATTCTTTTGATGTCTTTATTTGTTGCAGGAAACATGAAAGAAAAATGAAGCATGATGAAATACGTAAGAAGTATGGTATGTGGTAATCCTGCTTTGACTCAATATCTGAATTGATTCCTTTTTCCTAATTATTAAAATTCACAGCAGAAACAAGCTGCTTTATGAGGAGCAGAAATAATCAAGCCCAGGTTCCTACTGATGCATGTCTTCTGTCACCTGAGCACCTGATCTCATCACTGTTGTGCTCCTATTCTCTTCCTGCACTGACTCTCCCACTGGACAAGGGACAATGTACTGGATGGGGTGTTTGCTTGGAGTGGGCATTTACCTATATTGATTAAAATAAGTAGTTCTTTCCATCTCTTCCTAAGTAAGAGCACTGTTTTGGTTTTTGTTTTTTTTGTTCTTAGCTTGATAAACCAATCTAGCTGAAATTGGCTGGTAGACTCATGGCTATTGAAGGAGAATAGACTGACTAGCAGATAGCAAGCTTTTTAAATCAAGCTTAAAAAAGAAGGATGGGGGGATGCAGCCTAATGCAGGGATTAAAATGACTGTTTTTTCTTTTTCTTTTTTTTTTTTTTAAATGGAGCTGTTGTCCAGTAGGAGAAGGATATTGCAAGACTGTAGGACCTGCTGTGTTGTATGGGAGGCTCTTATTATCTAGGCTTGTCAGTGCTTGCACTTTGCATTTGATTTGTTCATAGGGTTAATAGTACTGTGTATTCAGAGACGGATATGCTAAAACTGTGCTGCACTTTTTATTATGCAAATTGCACTAATGTCAGGGAAGGTGATTCTAGGAGTCTGAACAGTCACTCAAAACTGTTAATTTTCATCCTCTTGTTAAACTGATTGGCAGAGTCTGAGAATACCTTCATGAATCTGCAGCCTGCCCTTTGGCTGATGCAGAAGTGATACTGACAGTCTCTATAGGGAATTCTCTGTCTGGGGAATGTTTGCAGAAGTGTGCTGCTTTGCTAGAATGGAGGAAAAATTCACTGTTAAGTTTGAGTTGCAGGAGGAAGAATGTTGTAGAAACTAGAAGTAATTTGTTAAACATCAGTCATGAACGTCAGTCCCATGGTATTTTATAGGATAATTGATCCTATATCCCAGCCATAATTCAGTTTCAAGAGGTTTGTTTGAGTGGTTGACAGCAATAGTCCAGATTTGTTTGGGTTGTTGTTTGTTTTTTTTTAATTCAAACAACAATGTAAAACACCACACTTTTTGTTTGTTTCTCATTACAAGAGTCCTTGGAGTCAGTAAGTTTGAATCATTGGGCTAGATCTGGTGAAGATCTGAAGAGAATGGCTATGTCTCCAAAATAACGTGCAGCACTCTGTACACATACACATGTAACTTTGCATCTCCTTGAGGCAGGCAGTGCAGTTAAGGGGAGTGAACAAGCTCCCAATTTCAATGTAACAGTGTATCAAAGCACTGCATTGGGGTTAAGTGATGTTTCAGAAGGCTGCATTCAGTTATATTCTGCTTGTTAAACTAGCTCACTTGTCACTGGATGTCCTGCGTTTTAGTGAAGACTCTCCTCAGTGCTGAACTTTCAGACCTTTGCAGGATGGTTTGTTGGACCTTGTTGGAGTAATTGAGTTTCCCGATGAACATAACTGTATAATTAATTCTGTGCCTCTGGAATACATCCACCAAATTCAACACATCTTGCTTGTAGCTATGGTATGCACACAGTCATATGAGAGCTAGTGTCACTTTACCTCCACTTGAAGCTTGTTAGTCTATCAATAACTTAGAAACAAGTTCATTAATGGAAGGTATACCTTCATATAAAGGGTCATTTCTTCATGCAGTTATGTTCTGCAGTGCAGTTTAGCTACAGAAGATTGTAATTCAACTTTAAAACTTAAATTTCAATAGCAAACGTCTAGATAATATTATTTATTGGCAGGTTTGCTTTATTGCATGTTTAAAGATAAATTTATATTATCAGAGGTATTGATTTGAGACCTGGATTCTCATAATTCATTTTTGTCCTAAAGAAAAACCTATGTCTTACATGAATAGTTACATGAATAGTGAAAGGATGTCCACAACTAAGGAAAAACGAAAGACAAAATATGTATACATTCTGAAATACCTAAATACCCATTATTGCTGATGTTTATATTTTGACAACATACAGACAAATGGTGCTCAATATAATTCAGTGAGGCATAACAGAGTAAGTCCTGCTTAAGCCTTGCATCTTCTGTCTTCATTTTTCACTGTCTAGCAAATACATATGTTAGCATATTAAACATAATCTAATAAAAATTGCTGCAAATAATTATGGAGACACTAGATTATTTTACACTCTTATGCACTGCAGAGAGGATTCTCAGTTAAGTAGGCATGGATGAGTGGCAGAGCAACAATGACTTTGTTAACCTGACTCTGTAGATTAAGATGATCATGCCCGAAATTTCAGCATTTGGTTGGCTTTAAGGGAATGCCTTTTCCCATTTCATCCACCAGCTTTCCTTACTCCATTTAAATGGTAATTACACATTTATAATGCATTGCAGGTGTCACTCTAGCCACAGTCCTTTGGGAGCACTGGAAGCAATAGAGAGCTTTAGCAGCCAGGAATACACACTTTGAATTGTTTCTTTGTTGCACAATTTGTTAGTATTTTTCATTTGCTCACATACATGAATGCAGTATGATTACACAAATTATATGTTGACTGTTAGAAATTTTTAAAGTAGAATTCAGAGTACTTTTGCAGCTTGTGTAGTATACAAAGGAACTACAATTTAATTGCTGCTGCATTTGCTGCTATTGTATCTTCACTATAGCACTGCTTTATTATTTATTTCAGGATTTTGCCTAGTAGTAATGGAAGGATTCTCTCTTAATTTTTAGGAAATTATTGCCTTTCACGATTTTGGTCTTCCACACCACTTGCTTCAGTTCTGCAAAGGTTTTGATAGCTAATTTAATGATCTGTAATCTTACCTCCTTTATTTTATGTGAGGTGTTTATTTTTATATTCAGTAGTTTGTCACAGTAAATATTGTTTCTGTTCAAGACAGATACTTTATCTTGACCTTCTTTAGTGTTCTGAATGCAAAGCCAGGAAACCTTGTATCACTATGCACTTAAAGCTATTTAGTCTGTATGTTAGGAATAGAGTTGTTAATCTGGGGGTAAAAAATTGAGGAGAAGAAGTGTAATAAGGGGTGAAGACATGCAGCAAACTAGTTCATTTTTTGAGCATATACAGTCTTGTAAGTATTTTACTTGATAATTCTATTTTTGGGCAGTGCTGATATGTGGTGAGGGTTCTCAATGACTGAGAAGCTGCATAAATTAGTATAACGTAATATAAAGGAACATGCTAGAAAGAGGTATTCATTTCTTACAATTGCTTTGTTGTTTCTTACATATTAGGAGGCCTCATTACTTCCTACAAGCTAATGAGAGATACTTGACTACGACACCTTTCAAATTTTTGAATGTTTCTTAAATATTGCGACATAGGTCAAATATTACCCTCAACATGAAGATAAATAGAAGTAAGGTGTTAGAAGTTCTTGTAAGTGTTCTGTGTGTCAATATTCAGGTTCAGCTGTAACATGTACCAGACTTTATTGCAAACAAGACTCCTGAATGTATAAACATCCAGTGTCTCTGAACCTGTAAGTGTAAATTACACTTTGGGTAGTTGCTCCCATGTCAAATGGGAAACAGTAGAGAGAGAGAACTTGTGTCTGGTTCAAGGCAGCACATGAGCTTTAGTTGAACCAGACATGCAATCCAATTAGCATAGGCTTGCAGCTCCTCTTTGAGTGTCACAGCTAAGAGCAGCTGTGGCAGCTGACAGGAGCTTTTTGTCATGCTTGGTTTTTGTACATCTCTCTAGATTGTTTTTGTCCACTTACTCGAGCCTGATACGACTTCTTCAGCAAAAATTGGTGCAAGTGATAAGCTGCTCTCTCCCTGTTTTCACTTGATGTAGTCTTGTGATGTACTTAGAATGTTGAGGATAAAAGAAATTTAAACACTGGATGCAGATTTGAGAGCAAGACTGAGAGCGAGGTCTATTAGATGTTGTAACCTCTGTGGTTATCCTCATTTGGAAGGAGGGCTTGCCATTTCTCTTGGAGTACCTTCTTGCCCAGAAGATTTGTTTCTGAAGTCACCACCAACAATACTCACACTGTATCGACCCATAGTTCTTAATGCCTATTTAGTTCCAGTATTGTTCAGTAAAACAGAGAACTTTAAATTAAAACATACTACTGCCTCATTGGTGGTAATTATAGTGGTTCATTGCTAACATAATAATTCAGTAAAATTAAAATTGATACTACTGGGAATGGCATTTGCAGTAACAAGTAAAAATGACACATACACTTGAAATATGGAGACTACTTATTTAAAATGGTTTTTGGCTGAGTGTTTTGGGAGAAGGGCAGATAAAAGTATATTTGCTCCTCAGAGTGGTATAGGAAAAGTTTATCCGGAGTCTTACACCATCCTCTGATTAATTAGAAATTGGCACTGCTGGATGTAGTGCTCCAATGGAACATTGTTTCCATTGCATTCCAGCTGTTTAAGCTGCAAGAGAACAGTGTCCAGTGTTTTACTGTGCTGCTGTCAGACCTATGAAATGTGTCAATCATGTGTCTTGAATGAAATAGATGAAAAATGTAATAAGCACTTGCCAGACTATATAGAGAGAAATATGCAACTTAATTTTGTCAGGGAATCTGGTACCACCTTTTGCCATTTTGTGGAAAATTTTCTGAAGTTTGGTGCCTTGATTTCAAGTAGAACTTAGCGCAGGGAGTTTGTGAAATGCCAATTGTAATTAAAATGTTTTAGCTTACTTAGCTGGAGTAGACTTAACAGACATTACAGCTTTTTGTTTAAACACATGAAAGATAAGATTCAAATTCGAGAAGCTTTCTGAGAGTGTAAAAATCTAAAAATTTCATTATCTCATAATATTGTAGATAAATTTTGACAATACTGTCATCTAACCATATTCTTATTAAACAAATGCTTAAAAGATTTTTTTTTTCAAAGCAATTACAGAAAGGGGTAGTACA